TATAGAAGAAAACTTTTGTTCCCAAACCTAGCAAGTTGTACAAGATAATTTCATTGATTTTTTTTATTAATTAACATTATTGGCCCTATGCCTACTTGCTGGGTTTAAAATTTAAAAACTTTCGGGGCCAAAGAAACAAACTATATGGTAATTTGCTACTGACATTATAATTATGAAACTTCTTTCATCACAACATGATGCAACATGAGATACTTTTTATTATTATTCTATATTTTACATGCACAGAGCTTAAATTTGAGCTTCAAGAAAAAAAAGCTACCCTTGATGCATATTTTTCTAAGCAGCAGAAGCAAGAGGCAGTTGAAGGTAATAATGGTATAATGTTATCACTCCATGCAGTGAGTACCATAGCTGGTAGTTATGGGGGTGGGTAAATTTGATAATGTTCTACATGTATGTTTTGTGATTGCACATACATGCAGTGTTTGGTGAATTTGTGGACATGTGCACTGCCATTGAGCTGGCATAGTTTATATGGGCCCAAGGGTGAGGTATATACATGTAATTGTAAATTTGCTCCTATCCCAAAACTGTATCAGTTTATTATTTACACAATTTTATTACTGTGTATTTAAAAAGCAATTTCTACTCATGTAAAATTTATATCTCTTCATAAAGTTTGCCACAAACAATGTAATGCTATTTTTAATAATAGAAATGCTACGAACAGATATATATTTAAAAGACAAAGCAATAGAACATCTTGTTGAGGAAAAGTCTTTGCTATTAGTAGAAAAATCTCAGCTTTTGGAAGAAATCAGGAAACTTAAAGATGAAAAAGTGAAAATGGTGGGTATGTCAAGCTCACAAAATTGTAATACTCAATACCTTTATTTTTAAATAGATTTCAGAACACAGGTTAAAAAGACAAATTCAAAAATGTACCCAAATGAAGAGAAAATATTGACTAAAAGTATGAAACAATTCTATTTTATTAACAATACTTTATACGTTAAAGGGCAAGATACTGTGGCTATGGCTCATTCAGCTGATTATGTTGGTGAGCTACATAGGTCTAGTGACAGTGATAAAGGTAATGAGACACCACCTAAAGGTATAGACCGATACGAATTGGCCATACCACAACAAGAAATGTCCAAGACACCATTGACAATAATGGTGGTTGGTAATACAGGAGTAGGAAAATCAACACTCATCAATTCAATGCTGGGTAAGGAAGTAGCCCAAGTAGCACATGGTATGTACCCTTGCGAACATGATACAATAGAAGAACACACTGGTACTGTCTATGGTACACCAGTGGTGTTTTATGATACAAGAGGTCTGGGAGACCGACGAATAAATAGTAAAGAGTTGATGAAGAAGTTTAAACAGAAGCTTGATGAATGTGGTGATCGGTTCACAATCCTTATATGCCTGAAGTTTATGAACAGATTTTATCATTCAGTTGAGTATTTTCTAAATCTTCTTGCAAGACTGTTCAAAAATAATGGCACCATATGGAAAAGCTGCATCTTAGTACTAACACAAGCCAATGAGTTTGATACTTATTATTATGAAAGTGATGAAGAGGATGAAGGCGAAGAAAATAGGAGTTACATTAGCCCAGAAGTTCTCAAATTAAAAATGAATGTAAGAATCAAACAATGGGCCATGCAGTTTCAATCAAACCTGGAAAGATGCAATGTGCCTGAGGAAATAATCATGAATATGCCAGTTTGTGTCGCTGGGAATAAGAGGCACATCAAATTACCTGTCACTGATAACTGGATAAAAGCTCTAAATTTCCAAAGTACTCATCGAATGGAACGACACTCACATGATATGGGAATGTATTATATCAGTCAAGCAATTGGAGGAGCAGGTGGAGGTGTTGCAGTACCGATTGTTGGCATACCGATTGGAGATACCATAGGCAATCTGGTTGCATATAAGATGATCAACAGCTTATACTGGAGGAAAATAAGAGATGGAGAAGAAAAGGAATTCTATGACAGTAAAAAAATTGATGAATTAACAAAAAAACTAAAATGACAGAAAAATATTTTTATAATCATAATTACTATAATGACTTGTGACTTATACTATGACTTATTAATTATTTTACATGCATTGTAGCAACTTTGAAAGTATTGTGGTGACAAACATACTGTGAGCAACTTGGTGTGTTTGTCACCCAGTACCACGTGATAGGTTCAGAGTATATATAGCTACATACATGTAGCACCTTGATCCCCAGTCTCCATTCTTTCTTTGGATGAGGGATAGATCTATTAGCATTAGCTCTAGTTGTTGACATACCCATTTTCTTACAACAAGGGAGAGAGTGACCACAAAATAATGGAGTATTTAGACAGTGTGGTGTAGACAATATTTCACTTTGAGGGATTCACCATCATCAAAAAGTCATGAACTGGTCTGTGATTTTGCTCTGTTTCACTATTCTCAACTTGCAAAAGTAGCAGTCAATAACATGTATGAGAGAGAATTACCCAATTTACATTAATGCATGTGGTTTTAAAAATTATTGTATATTTATAATTTTGTTGTTTATAACACATGAATATGTTTAGTTGTGTGTGGGTGCAGGTGTATCATTATAATGGAAAATAATATTATTGAACACATACATGTACAGTTAGTTATGATGTTGACAAGTTTGAAGCTGTTGAGAGATGCTTCAAATGCTAAAAGAAAAATACAAGTGAATGAGACAAACAGAGAAACATTAAAATACAAATACACTCTACATGTATCACTCCTCTCCCTCTCTCTCTCACTCACTTTAACTCTATCATTAACTGAGAGTCCTTGAACTGATAGTCCTGGATGAGACACTGTATACCTAATACAAGCAGTCAGTAAGTACATTCACACATTGAGTACATTACAATTACATGTACTGTATTTT